ATCATGTCAGCCCATGGGCTAATGGAATAGTGTAAGCCAATTTGGGCCCATCTGATTGGCACGACTGCATTTTTATATTTTAATTATTTTTATACAAATCCAAATCACATGACATTTGGGGCGCCCACTCTTCTCATCAAGGCGCACCTAATAAAAATATTTAAAAAATTATTCGCAAAAATTACATTGACCAAAATACCCATAAAAGTTTTGAGGGGTATTTTGGACTATTTAATTTTTAAAATTATTTTATTGTTATTTTTATTAGATTCACTTATTTTTTAAGAATAGACGTTCCAAACTTCAAGTGATTTGTATTTATAAAAGAAATTAAAATTAAAATACAAAATGCAATAGTAACCATTGGACCGGCCTAGATTCATTCTGGGCCATTGGGTGTTTACTGTAGCTGTCAGCTAGCTGACTGACCTAATACAATCCCTATATATGTATATATATTGAGGGAAATGATATCATGTCACCATGCCATTGTAATATAATGAAAACACACTTCTAGAAAACCATGTTTGTGATATTTGTATGACCCAACTTTGCACACACACTCTCGTCATCTCAATAAGCAATCTAAAAAAAAATTAATTAATTTGCACCCTATATATGGTCAAAATGAGTCCCCTCCAACAATGAATCTAGACCGTCTATTTGGTGAATTTCAAGATCTAGGCCTTTATGAATTCAAAAACGATTTTTTCTTTTTTAACGTTGTTAATCTAATGATAATAAGTTATCTAAACAATTTGGAAAGAAAAAAGATCCTTCTAAGGTCTAGATCTAAGCATATCACCAAAATGGACGGTCTATGTTAATTGGGCTAAAAAAGCACTTTCTAGGTTGTGTTTTCAAATTTTTCTTTTTTTGTGATTTTTCATTAGAATGAAAAGAGTGCATATTTTAAAATTTGGGTCAAATGAATTGCCCTAACATGGTTTTTGAATATTGTTTCATTTTATTACCATACAACCATTGCATGAAATCACTCCCCATATATATATATATATGTGTGTGTGTGTGTGTGTGTCCGTATGCGTTTGTGTGTGTGTGAGGGAGAGAGGGAAGGACTTTCGAGTCTAGGTCTCTAGAGCCATATTTGGTGCAACACCTAGTTCGCCCTTCACAATTTCCAAAATTCTACTTACATAAACTGTGCCGAGCTGTGGCTTCTGTTACTCGACTTGTTCCTTTTGTTGTGATATCGAAAAATGGGGTCAGAAGCATGGGTAGTTTCTAGTTTTGTGAAATTCACTTGTGGACTTCCAGTATGAATTCTAGGAGTCCTTCATAGCCCAGTCATTTCACTTTCATGTGCAATACCCCTCCAGCACATACTTTGTCCAAATCTTCTTTCGAAGTTGATCAAAACACCTTTTGGTTTCACAGTGTGTTCTTTTCAGTCCTTCAGGATACTTTTAATTCTTTTTAATACTAATTAAACCGCATTGCTTTACAGGGATCTTTGATGGCTATGAGTAAGCTAAGGGAGGAGGTCGATCAAGAGAAGAGAAAGGCAAAAAGGGATGACCCTGATCATGAAAAGGACTTTGAAGTCTGCATGAGGGCTAAAAATAATGCCTGGATTGTTGCTCGTGTAAGTAGAGGAAAAGAGCTTTACATGGTTCTCGAAAAGGCCAGTGAAACCCTACTTTTTGCATCCGAAGCAGTAGATAAGTTTAGCAACAGGTGTGCATACTGTTTCTCCATTTCTCATGAGTCTTGTATTCCTGTTTTTGACATTATAAGCATCATATTACTTTTCCTGACAAACTCAAATCTGGTCTTTTTGGGACATATTACAATTACAAAGATGCTTTCGTTTTTCTAGGTTTCGACCAGAAGCCTCTTAGCTTTCCAAAATTTATGGGTATACTCGAAACTTCGGAAATAGATGAAAACTCCTCATTGGTTATTGAGTGAAATCTGTTTTCTTGTGTCCATTGAGTATAATACATTTGGAACTTCTTATCCATGGTCCATAATCTCATGATTTGGAGTTGACTGTTTTGCCAATTAGGTTGCTTGGAGAAGTGTATAGTTGTCTCCAACTATTCGTGATCCAAAAAGTGGCTCTAGTAAAATATTTTATTAAAGTGGGTCTAGTAAAATACAAGATTATATGCCTAATTTGTAAATACACACACGCACACATAAAAAAGGGAGCAACCTTACTTGTAGAAGTAAGGTTGCAGTTGTCTATGCTGTTCATTTTAATTGGACGGTGTAAATTTGATACGTCTTTTATGATAGTGTTAAAAAAGTAGATAGTCTTTGGAGATAGTGTCAAATCTACATTGTTCAAATAAAATGAATAGTATAGATTAAAACAACTTTACTTCTATATATATGTTTTCCATATATCGATAATGAATAGTAGCTTAAGTCCTGCTCTTAGCCATATGAGAAAATACATATCACTATTTGAATTTTAATATTTTTTCTACAAATCATTTCAAGCTAAAATGTTGAGCACATGTACTTGACACTATCTCACACTATATAAAAATATAAAAAAAATATTTTCAAAAATTTAAGATCATCAAATTACCCCCATCATTTTTTAGAGGTATTTTGGTCATTTTTAAATTTAGTAAATATAAGCTAAAATGTTGAACGTATTTACTTGACACTATCTCGCACCATATAAAAATATAAAAAAAAAACTATTTAATTTTTTAATATTACCAAATTACCCCTATCATTTTTCAAGGGGATTACCCCCATCATTTTCAGGGGTATTTTGGTCATTTTAAATTTTCTAAAATATTTTTTCATGTGCACTCTATTCAAAATTTCATCTCGATCCAATTTATGGAAAAAAGATTAAAATTCAAATATAATTTTAATGGTGATACGTATTTTCAACCATCCGATCAAGATTTGATCGTTGGGAGCCGGACCTAAGCTACTATTCATTTTAAGTCTAGACCTATTGGTAGGTTTATATATATATATATATA